GAGAGAAGAAGAAATTTCAGGAACTGCTGCTGTAGCAAAAGCACTGCGATAGCTACTTTGCTTTAGATTCAGCACCGTTGTTTCCAACGTTAAAAACATATTCATCAACGTCCCCATCTTCCACTCTTTGACATGAAGACCTCGCCAGAAATTTTTATCCCTAGTCCTGGCTTAAGTATCCATACCATTACAGGGTTTTCAGGCATAATATAATCATTTTAACTATTTGAATGTTCTCCCAGAACATCGGGGTTCTATGCTGTCACTCGTTCGCCTACGGATCTTGGCAATACTTTTGTTCAGCCCATGTTTGACACATTTGACACACGGTCCCGCGTCCTTCGCACTGCAGGCGCTTAAATACCATGGTCTGCTTAAATGGTCCCCTAGGCGTCTAGAAGCAAAGGGACAGTGCAACAGACTGCTGGTGTAAAGTGAGAAATAGATTTTTCTTAATTTACAGCGCGCCGTTTCAATCTGGTATCATTTTACTTGTAGTGTGATATTCAGCAGCGGTATATAAAGCTCTCCCAGAACATCGGGGTTCTACTTTGTCACTTGAACGTATTTGACTTACCACATGTTTCCTCATTGAGGACCCTACTTTGCTGACAGTAAAACTAGGATGCATTCTTCTGGAGTGAAGTAACGGCGGAAGTTGATTCCCGTGGTCTGATGGCTGATTGATTTATATCGATTTGAATTTCAGGCATGAGATGGTCGGTCAGTTTTTGGCTACGTTGTTTTACTTCACTGATAGATCGGGGTTACTCATTCGCAGTAGCGTCAGGCTCATGGCCGATCATGAGTTACAGCCTTGGTCAGGATCATTCACTTTTTTCCTTCTAACTCTTTTTCCTTTTTTCTTCTGTTGATAGATGAGTGCCACTCTGTGAATTTGAATGAAGAGACTGCGCATTATGAGACGCATAGCTGCTATCGACTCTGCTCTGTCGTTAAAATAAGAGCATTCCTGACTGGTGGCATGGAATTGGAGATCAGCACTGTACCGTCAGCTTAATGAAAAGAAGGGTGCCAGAAATGGTTCTATCATGAATATTCTAACTTGAAAATTTTCCGTTTTTGCTGTTCATGGTAAACTCTCAGGTAACGTAGTGGCTAAGATGAATACACTCCAAACTTTACTTCGCCTCAGAAACGAATCCCTTTTCTCGCTATTCGCTTTTATCATTCATTGACTCAGTCACTTCTTCTAACTACCTATGGTTAAAGTTTCAAACCTAATTATGTCAACTTTTAATTTTCATATTTTCAGGCGATTATCGAAGACCGTGTCCCTTGGTCAGCTCCTTTCCTTGTGCCTTTGCGTTTCCGCTGTAACCAGCAAGTATCTCTCGTTATTCGGCGTCGATACCCCTACGAGTAAGTGTTGATTGTTTACACTGAATAGCTGACTGTCATTTGTACGCTTTTCCTTTACCTCTTTATTACCAATTGTAGCTCAGAGTTTCCTCACTTACTTCTTGCTTTGTTTCGTGTATGGGACGAAGCTGGCCTGTCGTACGTCGGATATTGGTCTTATCGACGTGTTCCGTAGTCGCGGCTGGAAATACTTCGTTCTGGCCTTCATAGACGTTGAGGCGAACTTTCTGCTGGTAAAAGCGTATCAGCATACAAGTCTCGCTAGTGTACAGGTAAGCGTTCCTGGCTTTGTCCCTTTCCTCAGACTCAGTTGTTATGCATATCTTTCAATATACATGTTCTTTTCAGTTATTGGACTGCTTCACCATTCCAGTCGTGTTGATTTTGTCGTTTATATTTTTGAAGATACGTTATCTGTTGATTCATATTGTGGCCGTTACGATTTGTTTAATCGGAATCGGATGCCTCGTTTGGGGCGACATTGAGTTGGGCAACTTCTTTTCGTCCGGTAAGCCAATTTTTTAATTTTGCCATTCTTATCTATGTAACACTTAATTAATAAATACGGAAGTAATGAAATCTGTTGCCATGTGGATCTCCAACTTATCTCTTTTATTTGTAGTACAATTGTTCTCACAATGACAATACCAAGAATGCCGTTTTTAGAAGC